CCTCCTAAAGCGCGGGATTACAGGTTGAGCCACCGAGCCCGGCTTGAATTTATTTATTCTAATGGGTTTTTTTTTGTGTATGAAGTCTGGGATTGTCTACATATAGGATCTTGTTATCTGCAGGTGAAGATAGTTTTACTTCTTCCTTTCCAAGTTGTATGCCTTTTATTGTCTGATTGCTCTTGCTAGTACTTCTGTGTTGAACAAAAGTGGTAGGAGTGGGCATCCTTGCTTTATACTGGATCCTAGAGAAAAACTTTCAGCTTTTCCTCATTGGTTATGATGCTAGCTGTGGTTTTTTTCATAGGTGACCTTTATTATATTGAGGAAATTTTCCTTTAAACCTAATTTTTTGACAGTTTTTAATAAAGACAGGATATTGAACTTTGTCAGAAGCCTTTTCTGCACCAATTAAGATAATCATGTGGTTTTTATCTTTTATTCTGTTAATGTAATGTATCACATTGATTTATTTGCATATTTTCAATAACACTTGCATGTCAGGGATAAATCTCACTTGGTTGTGATATATAATCTTTCCGATGTGCTGGTAAGTTTGGTTTGTTATTATTTATTTATTTTTTTTAGTTGGGGTCTCACTCCATTGCCCAGACTAGACTGCAGTGGCATGCTTACGGCCACCCTAGCTTCGACCTGCTGGGCTTCGGCAATCCTTTCACCTCAGCCTTTGAAGTAGCCAGAACTACAGGCATGCGCTATCATGCCCAGACAATATTTGATTCATTGTAGAGATGAGGTCCTGCCAAGTGGCCGGGCCAGTCTCAAACCCATGGGCTCAGGCAATCTGCTCGCTTTGGCCTCCCAAAGTGCTGGGATTACACGCTGAGCCACTGAGCCTGTCCGGTTTGTTAATATTTTATTGAGGTGTTTTGTACCAATATTTATCAGAGGTAATTGGCCTATAGTTTTCTTTTCTTGTGATATCTTTGGCTCTGGTATCAAGGTGATGCTGGCTTCATAAGATGTTTGGAAGTATTCCCTCTGGTTCTATTTCTTGGAAGAGTTTAAGAAGGATTCGTACTTATTTTTCTTTGAATGTTTGGCAGAATTCAACCATGAAGCCATCTGATCCTGTGCTTTTCTTTATTGTGAGGTTTTTAATTTACTTACATCTCTTTATTTAGCATATCTTCTTTTAAATTCAGTCTGTTCTGATATGTTGTTTTGTTAATGTATATGAAAAAAATCTAACCTTCTACATATACATAATTGGCAAAAAGGGAAGTATTTAAATTTTAGGCAATTTGATACTACACTAAAACTCAACAAGTGATAGTTTTTAAAAAATATTTTTGCAGTAGTAGCCTTTATTTCAGATATGATAACACTATTTCAAAGTCAGGGTAAGCAAGCAGAAGTATGTTTTTCCTTGTATACCCATACTCAAATGTCAACATATAGCTTCAGGCCATTCTTAACAAGGAGCAAGTGCAGAATCAAGGTAGTATCTGTCAACAGAAGAGCTATACTAAAGCTACGTATCAGCCCTGGAAGTCAGAAAACACAAGTGATCTTGTGCAGTGATTCTCAACTTTAGTGTACTTCAGAATTACTTGGATTATGGAAAAAGCACCCTCAGGGAACTGAAGGAAAATCACCAGATTAAGCAAGCCTTTGGTCTCAAAATAAACACAAAAGAGATTAAAAATACATAAGTTATTCCTCGGGGAGGGGGAAAGACAAAATACACTGTAATATAAAAGATCAGCCATTTACTTACTATATGACTTCTCTGAACACAAGAAGTAGTTTCCAAGAGGTCAGCTGCAAGGTAGAATCTAGACCACAACAAGGAACTTTTTGGAATGTTCCACTAGGTTTTGTTGGTGTATCTTGCACTTTGAGTGGCTCTTTAACACAGGTGTAATTTTGTAACACACATTTGTTATTTGGAAAATTTTGATTCACTGTGTTATGCAGTTAAAACATTGGTATACAAGATTTTAAAAATCATTAATTGATATAATCATGCATCTCATTTACTGTGGTAATATAAATGTTCCAAAGTCAAATTTTTGCTTGAATGCTTTTATCATTGGCAAACAGATACTGTTAGTTTTTCTTAAATTGGTGGGCATGCTCACTTTATCTTCAGAAATATGTCTACCAAATACCTGAGTCTGAATAACCATAGTTATTCTTTCAGGTAAAAATGGTGTTTATTGAAAAAAGAGGCTATGTTAACTCTCAACTTAATAGCACAAATGCTTTTCCTCCTACGTTTTTGTACTTCTATATGCTGCTGAAATGCTTTATCTGTTTTTCACATTTCGTCTCACAAAACACTAAAAGGAGGTATACTTGGTAGTTGAAATTTAGTATAATTATATAAATAATTTTTAGGTTATACCCAGGACCTTCTTCATAAAACAGTTTTTTTTGTTGTTGCTGCTGTTTTTGTCTGTTTTTAAAACTGTGAGTGGCAATGGAGAACACACTGACCACTAGCAAGGTTTGATGTTGCTGCTGTAACTCATACTAAGGTGCTTGAAGTTTTACTTCTTGCTTTTGCATCATCAGTGAAAATATCAACAGAATAGAAATATTTAATGAGAAATTAAAAAGGAATATATTGTCTTGGTATATGAAAAATAACCTTGACTTCATGAACACCCTGAAAGAGTCTTAGGTTCCCTCAGGGGTTAGCACATTATACACTGAGAACTGTTGCTCTGTAATTAGCATGATAGTATATCATATCGAATCTACTTTTGAAAGAGAGAAATGGGATTCTATTAATAATTAGCTTAGAAAAACAGGTGTAAACTGGAATTGTCCTGGGCAAACTGGGACATGTAGTCACCCTATGATTTCCTTATTTCTAGGGAATTTCAAATTAGCTGGTCCTCATGTCATAATGACGTTTTAAACAAGACTATCATTCATTATGGGAGGAAGGGAATGCAGAACAGGGACATCAAGAGATTTGTAGCTTTCATCTTTGAGCGTCAACCTATGTCTAATTGTTCTTGAACTTAGATTTATTGAAAATTTCAGCAATGTGATTGGTTCTTTAGGTGATTTGAGGATTAAAATGTTCAGTTTGGTCATCAGAAGGTACCCTTATGATAAAGAGTAGTTACAAAAAAGAAATTGAGAAATTTTTGAACTTCTCAAATAATGTGACTTGGATATTAAGATTTGGAATGGTTCAAAGCAAAACTAAGAGTTGTAAATCTCACTGTACAATGTATCAAAGAATTTTTAATGGTGGATGGAAAAAATACACATATAGTTGTGAGTATTGTTATGCCTATTATAATAAACATTTAAAAAAATTATGTTTGTGAGATTAAATTCTTGCTGTGTTATAAAATTTATTAAATTTAATATTTCTAGAACATATACATGAAGGTCAAAATTATAGCACTTAGTTTGAGTAGAACCACACTTTCAGTGAAAACTTAATTGGTTTTTAAAACCATCTTGAATATTTAAAAAAATGTGTTTCAGGTACATTTAATGGTATACATAACTTGTGAACATATATAATGTATATAACTTGTGAGTTTTGTATTAAAATCAAGTAGGAGCTTTTTGAAACTTCACTATAAAACTTATTTAATGCTTTTATTCTGATGTCTATAAAGAAACTTTAAAAACTCTCTTATAGTTCTGTTTGATTTCTTTTAAATATAGAGAATTATCCTTCAAGATTTATTGCAAGGTATCTAAAAGAAGATGATTGTTGCTACTTTTCCTCAAGAAATTCATTTAATTGCTTTAGAAAGTATGTTAACAGATTCTTGTTTCCTCTCAGGCTATGACTTAAGCTGTAGCAGCTTAAGCTTTGTTCACTTTAGCTAATTAAGACTAATACTATTGTGTTCCTGCCACTCCAGTTCTTTCTAATTTAGCTTTTTAAAAAGAATGTTTGTTAATAAGCAAAGCCATAGATAAACAGGATAAAAATAATCTGTGCTTCATTAAGCATCAATCTTCAGCCTTCTATTGTCTTGATGTGGAAAGAGTAGTTAGTTTGAAAAATGTTTGCTCTTCTAAATTGTTTGTTGTATATGATAGAGCCGTTTTAGTATCAGAGATAGATCTCTGGGGGCAGTTTTTCTTAATGCATTATTTGAAAAACAGGCCATAATAAACTTTTTACATGCTAAAAAGTTTCTGTTTCAAAAAAAAGACAACATGACATTCTAAGTCATGTTTAGCTGGGTAAAATGAACCTTCAGCATTTAAGGTTTGATCAATTGAGATCCTTTTATGCTGTAGTTACTATTTGTTTTTTACATTTATTTTTTTAAATGATAGATTATATTTGCAACTAGTTGGTTAACCTTCTAGATGCATTATAAATGAAGGGATGGTTAGCAAATTGGCAAATAATAAAGAAAAAAATACTGGATTCTAGCTTTAATATAGGTTGAGTTGGCGGTCTCTTGTGCATTTTTTGTATCTTTTTCTTCATAGTTGTATCTGTGTTACTGTTCTTACTTACTTATTCCTAAAACAATATAGCTGTGCTTACTTGGCCAAAGTACTGTAGATAGCTTTTCATAAAATGAATAATTGAATAATATTTTGAACCTATGAAATTTAGAATGAGTTTATATTGGGTTACATATTCCTGCTAAATATTATAGTTTCTTGGAAATGTACCACTTTAGCAAAGAATACGTTTTCTCCCCCAATAAAAAGTGATAGGAGAGATTTAGTGCTTCATAGACTTATTAAAGACCATCTAGGTGTTTTGTTATATATTTTTGAAGTACAATGTAGTATTCACAATGAGATGTTTGCTTTTGGTACTTAAAGTAGTTTACTTGTGAAATCTTTGTCTAAAGTTGTTGCAAAAATAAAATCAAATACTTTGATTTTTACCTCACTTGGAATCAAGACGTTTAGAATTCACCATGTCTCAACTTGTTAATGATAGAAAATATTTAAAAAAAATAAGCTATGCTTAGCAATTGTATTAAATTGATAAATTCTAATGAATATATAATATTTTGTTCTCTATGCAGCATCATTAATTCCTGCTGGTAGAACTCTTTCACGTTTTACTACAGCAGAACTGGTATGTAGATTGTTTAAAATGTATTTTAAGATATGTGCCTCATTTTTAGTAAATGGTGGCAAAATGCTAAACATAAATATAGATCATAGTCCTCCAGTTGAATGGGAGAAGATGTGGTAAGGAATGGGGAGACAGGACTAGGTTCTATAGCACAGATGTAGCAAAAACTCAGGGGTTGCAGACTTGACATTTTCTTACCACCTTTTCCTATCTTCCAGAGCAGTTTTTAGTGTCTGCAAAGACTGTATCTATAAGGTTAGGAAATTTCTGAAGTTATGTTGTATGGGATTTTAATACACTGTGTAATGTCATATACTTGGTAGAGCTCAAAAAGATAATTTTGATGTGGTATTTTTTTCTGATTTTTTTCCCCATCCTCAGTTGAATGATATCATAATTTTTAATTAAATTGGAATATTTTGGTCATTTTCTAACTTTGTGAAGTCGAATTTGTTTATATTTCTTCCCTGAGGTCTTGAAGGTAAATAAATTACAAATTAACTTAGAAAATCATACAAGTACTGGGTTGAGAGAATTGATTTTTATCACATTCTCACCAACATTGGTATTATTTTTAATCTTTTAAAATTTTGCTGATCTGAAAGGCCAAAACATTTCCTTGTCTTTGATTATGTGTATTTGATTTTAAAGCCCTAGGTTTAATTATTCCAAAATAAAACATGTATGACATCATATTATCTACTTTAAAATATCATTAATGATCAACTTAAAGACTAGCGGACCCTTAAAGGCAGCTGTGGTTCTTACATTTGACAACTTGAGAATCAATGGGCCAGGAAAGCTATGTCTTGAGCAAGTTTTATGAACCAAGTTGATACTATTCATTAAGACTTACTGGATTCATTGTTACTAACTGCAGAATAGAATTCTTTTAGATCCTTAATGGGCTGATCTAAATAAAATACTAAAAAACTGTTTTATTCCAATAATTCAGTCCTAATGTTAAATGTTGTCAAATAATTGTCCTATTGTCTGGAATCAGATTTTTTTTTTACCTCCTATGAGATTGTGGGGCAGAGGGGGAAGGCAAAAAGTAAAGTCCTTTTTTAACTTACTAATATAAATTTCTTATATTTAGGGCACCTCAAATTCCAGTGCAAACATTACTTTTCCTGGTTATCCTATTCATGTACCAGCAGGTGTGATGCTACAGACTGCATCTGGTGAGAGTATAGTCTAAGAATATATTTTGTTTTTAGCATTGGTACTCTTTTTCTGGACCTCAAGTGTCATGATTTTTTTTTTTTTTTTTTTTAGAGTTCAATTAGCCATGTTTTGTTTTTATTTTTATTTTTATTTATTTATTTTTTTGAGTTGGAGTCTTACTCTGTCACCCAGACTGGAGTGCAGTGGCCGCTCCCAGCCACCGCAGCCTCGACCTGCTGGGCTCCGGAAATCCTTCTGCCTCAGCCTTTCAAGTAGCTGGAACTACAGGCGTGTGCTACCACGCCCGGCTAATTTTTTGATTTATTGTAGAGATGAGGTCTCACCTGCCCAGGAGGGTCTCGAGCCCGCGGGCTCAGGCAATCCACTCACCTCAGCCTCCCAAGTTATCTAAATTTTAGCAAATACAAATAGAATAACATCTGCATCCCTGTTAACTCTATTCAAGGAAAACGAAAGATTAGGTTGATTTACCTTTGCCTCCTTTCTTATTGGAGATAAACCATAAATCTTATGGTTTATTAGAAAAAACATCTGAAAGTTTGGAAGTTAACCAACTTCTGCTTTTCAGAGCATTATTTCTTGATTTGAAAAAGGATCATACTTACTCTTTGGATTGTTGTAAAGATTAAGTAAAGCACCTAACTCAGTGCTCAAAAATATGTATTTTCCCCCTCCTTTTTAGTGTTATTTTAAAGGAAAGAAATAATTAAATTCTTTTTTGGAATTGTTATATAGTATTTTAAATATATGAAATATATTATGTTTGTTAAAGTCTCATTTTAGGTTTATAACATTAATTTCTCAAACAATGGAAGAGGTTCATGGATTAAAAATTGGTGACCTGTATGTATCTCAAAATGTGCCTTACAAGTAATAGAGGGAAAAAGGCTAGAAGTTAAAGCAAAACAGATAAAATTTAAGTAAGAATAATACATATTTATTGTAGAAAAAAACCAAAAAAGTCTGAAGAATAAAATAAAAGCTCCTAAGATAACCACTATTAACATATCGTTATACTTCCTTCCATCCAGCCTCTTGGGGATAAGTGAATAATTTTTTGTTGTTGAAGGAAATTAGAATTCTATTATACTTACAATTTTGCTTTTTCCTTTTCAAGGTCACCTTTATAAAGTCAATGTACCAATTGTGGTGACACAGACTTCTGGAAGAGCAAATATTCTTCAGCAGCCAACTCAGCAAGTATTTCAGCAGATTGGGCAGCCTTCAATAATACAGACTAATATTCCGCAGTTGAATCCATGTTCTTTTCAAGCAACTACTGAAAAATCACAGAGAATTGAAACTGTGTTACAACCACCCACAGTTCTACATTCTGCACCATTAGTTAGGAAACACTTAGAAAATGCCACAAGTGATATACTTGTACCTCCTGGAAATGAGCAAAAAACTTTGTTGAGTCAGCAGAAAAATTGCCAGGGTATCAGTCTTCCAGGTGTTGTGTTTGCTCCACCAGTCTCTCAAACAAATTCTAATATGGAGCCCAGGCTCAGTGTTTCAGCTAACATGACTCAAAATCTGCATTGTGGGCCCCTCTCCACAGACCCTCAGGAGGCTCTCCACCAGCACACGACTGATATTCAGCGTCACATATGTAAAAATAGGATAAATGGATGTGATTCTGAAAAGCAGCCAGGAAATATAGAGAAAACCAGCAGCACACTTGTATCAGAGAAGGTATAGTTTTTTGTTCATCTTCTTGGGATTAGGGGACAGTGGCCAGTAATTAGACATCCTGAATATTTTAAAGCTGTAAGGTTAATAGGAATTATATATATATTTCCCCTAGAATATTGTTTCTTTTTTGAGTTGGAGTCTCACTCAGTCGCCCACACTGGAGTGCAGTGGCCCCTCCCGGCCACCGCAGCTTTGACCTGTAGGGCTCTGGCGATCCTTCCACCTCAGCCTTCTAAGTAGCTGGAACTACAGGCGTACGCTACCAGAATATTGTTTCTTTATTGTTTTTAATATAGTCATCAATTCTTAAATTTTCATGTTCAGCATTTGTAAACTTTTTTATTTCAGTTGATGAATTAGAATATTTCTTTAAAGAAAATGCATTTGTTTTAAGTTAATCTACTTTACCACTCCCTTACATTAGAAAAATTGGTTTTTGTCAACAGATAAAATTTAAAAGACCTAGAAATTCACCTCAGTAATTTAATGAATATTTGAGATAATTCCTTGTCATATTTAATATACAAAAGAAATTCACAAATATTTTTTTCTTGCTTTACCTGATTTTTTTGAATTCTCATTTGAAAGTCTTTCCTATATGAGGAGCTATCTTGCTAGTAATTTTGTTTCTCCCTTCCTACTAAAATACTGGTTTGATTTAATTTGGAATTCAAACCACTAAAAAATAGCTTCTAATTAAATTTCCATGCTGAAGATAGTTCTGAATTATTAATTTCTAAGGAATTCATAGTGATGGTAGAAAGATTCATAGGAGATTTTGGGTTAGAAAAACTAAAAAAAATTACTTTTTTTTTTTTTTTTTACAAATATGTCTATGGCTAATTCCATTTACACAATTTAGGAGATGCAGCAAATAAAGGTTTATGCTCCAGCTGATGGTTAATTTAAGTCTTTATTCAAGCACCACTGTATAAATCTGTAGTAATGGACAGTTAAGTACCACTTAAACATTCTATTTTCAGAATATTTAAAATTTTTTAGGTAGGGGAAAGGTAATAGGGTATAGTGAAAGACTGTGAACAAAGAAAATGACTATCAGAAATCATTTGACCTGTTTTAGAATGTTTCAGATATTTGATAAAACATATTCAAGATCTCTTAGCAAATCTACTTTTAGTTTGGTATAAGGTATTAAGATTAAAAAGTATTTTTTGAACATTTTTTCATAACATTTTTCACATAATATAGAAAATCTAGAAAAATCAATGTAAAATAAACTTATAACTGTGAAACATTTGGTCTAGAAGTAAGAATAACTACAAATTTAAAACGTGTTTTTGTAATTTATTTTGGATACTTTTTCTCTTGGATTTGTATGAATTTTGCAGATTTTTGGCATAATGGGTCACTTGTTCTGTTATGTATTACATGTCATCATGTACTTTTGCTGATGTGGGAAAATAGGTTAGTTAAGGGATATTAATCAAGGATTGTTTAGGGGGTAGTAGTTGAGAACTTGAGTTCTGAGACTATAATAAATTCAAATTCCAAGCTCACTACTTACAAGCAAACCATGTGATGTTACTCTCTGAAATTCAGTTTTAGTCTGTAAATTAGGCAAAATACCAGCCTTGTGATTTTTAGAATTATCAGAGATAATGTGTTTAGAGTATTTAAAGCTGCTGGCACCAGAGTAAGCTTTAGATTAGTGCTATTATACTTTATAGGTTGTTATATGTTAGATAACTTTTCATATAACTTGTCTGTTAGTTTTTAAATAGATCTGTATTTACAACAACAATCCAAACATACAAGAATATATATAAAATGTTTATTTACTGTAGGATATCTTTAAAATAGCAATTTGGTAAATTTATGCTGATCTAATTTTCAAAACATAAGTAGTTTTTTTAAATTGGTATCTTAAAAAAAATTACAGTTCATTATACTTATTTACTTTTCCTGTGTTATCCACTACCAGAGAGCTTAAAGATCTGTATAGGTTTAACATGTATGGATCTGTGTGGGCTTAACTTTGTTTCATAAAATGTATTCCTGACAGCTTTTGATTCAGCCCCTTGTAACTTCTGTTCTATTTTCTGTATCTGAATTGGACTATTCTAGGACTGTTCTTTTTAAATGAAGTCATACAATATTTGCCCTTTTGTGACTGGCTTTTTTTTTTAAACTTAGAATAACATTTTCAAAGTTCATTCATGTTGTAGCATGTGTCAGAATTTCATTCATTTTTAAGGTTGAATAACGTGATAATTTGATAATTTTTAAAACTCGTAAATACTTATAGAATCTGTTCCCTTTTCTTCATTTCTACTATCATTGCCCTGATTGTTTCTCAATGTAGGATAATATAATAGTTTTTTAACTATTTTATCAGCCTTTGTTCTCTGCTGCTTCTTATTCCACACTTAACCAATCCATCCTAGAGATTAAAGGCCTAGGCTTCAGGGATCAGAGCTGTTTTGAATTCTTACTCTATTCCTTAATTACTATGTAACTTGGGCAAGTTACTCATCTGTAAAATAAAGATACCAGTATCCACCATAGAATTGTGGCAACAGGATTAACCAAGGTTATCAATGTAAAGTGCTCAATAGCACACTGCCTGGCACATGGTAAGTGCTCAGTGTGTGTTAGCTGTTATCTTTCTTCCTGGTAGAAGCTGTTATCTCTCTTTCTGGTGGTTTCCAGAGATCTGTTCCAAATGCAGCCTATGTCTTTTCTCTGCTTAACAATTCACTGACTGCCTATCACCTATATGATAAATAAAATTAAGCTCCATAATATGGCACATAAGGAGCTCCATGTTCCATCTTTGCCAAAGTTTATTTACTCTCCTTTAGTACTTAGTACTTTACTGCTTAGTACTTTATTGGGAACACCAAACTGTGTGCTAGCCTCTTAACCTTGTTGTTTCCTACCTCTCTTTTATCCCTTCTGCTTTAGTGCCTGTATTTTCTTTCCACCATCTTTTCCTCTGGTTATTCATTTATCACCTTCTCCAGAAATCTAACCTTTCCCCCATTACTAGAGTGGTTGAAGCTCTTCTGTGCTGTGTCTGTCATAATGTAGTACAAAGATACATTAAATGTTCTGTTTGCATTGAGAGGTACCTTTTATTTATCTTTGTATACCCAGTACCTAAGAAAATATATATAATCAGTATATTAGAGTATAAGCTTTTAAAGGACAGGATCTATAATTAATTTGGCTCAGTGGTTCTCAATTCTGGCTGAGTATTAGAATCATTGGGACGTTAAAAAAAAAAGTTCAGGTCTACCCCAAGGGATCTATTGGGTAGATGCATAAGTGCGTAGTGTTTTTCTGCTTTCTTAAATGGTCTTCTGAGCCTGATGGTCTTCTTGAACATGGAGAATTACTTGGGTTAAAGTGGCCCTCTTTGAAATGACAAAATCATTTTCTTGCCATCCCTCCCTTGATGGCATTCTCCCTGTACACAGCACAAATGTTTGGAGCCACCTCTGCTGCCTTTACTCTTCTGTTAAACAGCAGAATATGTCAGAAGTGTTCTTTTTTTCCACTTGACACTAACTTTCTTCAAATCTGCAAAATGCAAGGCATATTCACAAGCACAGCATTGTCACTCCAGATGACAAATGGTAAACTCCCAATACTGCAGTGTCAAATACCATGCCAAAAAAAAAAAAAATTGCTATGAACTTAGGCATCAACTTAGTAGGTCTAATTGGTCTGGAGTGGGTTCTAGTATCAGTATTTAACAGCTTCTGAGGTGATTGTACTATGTAGTCAGGGTTAAGAACCATTGATGTGCCTCAAAATCAGTCTATAAATGAAAAATGAATGGAGTGAGGGAATAAAGGAGTGTATAACTTCAAGTAAGAGTTTTCATTTTTCTCACAAGTCCATATTAATACTTTCTCTAAAAGATAAAATGTCATATCAATAGCTATTTGAATTTAGAATTCAGCTAAATTGAATAAATGTTCATTTTAAATTGAATATATGCCATTTTAAAATTAATATATCTAAATCAAAGATTTTTAAAACCAGATATGTGACACTTATTGTAAGACAAAATCTAATTTAACAAAAAAATGTTTTGTACTTGTCAAAATATTTTGAGCAATATTTCATGCCAAATAAGAGTGGAGTGGCATGGGATGCCACTTACATGGTCAGGTAATATATAATCATCCTTGTCACTATATTATAATACATATCTGGATTAGGTTCCTGTTAAGAATTAGAGAAGCTATGCCCACTGAATTTGATGTAGTTTAGGTTGAAATGTGAAAATGATGTATCTTATAGCTTACGTTTCTCTTGTTTTATATTTACCCCCACCTGTGGGTCTTTATGAAATTCTACCAGTCTTTACTAACCGTTGGAAAAAGATGACTCTTTCACTAGAGTAAAGCTTAAATTGAAAAGGCTGGAAGCTGGGTTTGGCTCACAAAGCTTTATCTTGAGGCATCCTGTTTACTTAATATATAACCCAGGTACAGAAGCCACACACAATTGAAGACACCTCAGTTAAACTGAGAATCTTGGATGTTATTGATCTGGTTTGTTTAGAGCAGAGAAAGAAAATTGAAGCATTGCTTCTATCAGATGACATCATCTGGATTAGAACTGTTGACATTTCTTCACATTTGGCCAGAATTCATAAAAGAATCAGTAGTGTCTTCTTTCCTTTAACATTCAACAGGATAAAAATACCAGTGTTTAGGGTAGCCAGCATCTGATTTTAACCATTGATACCATCAAATAGTTTTTAATGTTGGAAGCCACCTTTTTTTTTTTTTTTTTAAACTGGAAACTGACATCTTTGTAATAATGAAAAGTTTCATTAGCAAAATTTGTGTTTTGTACACTGATTGAGCTCCTGAAATCCTTGGCAAGATACGGTTTTGCACTTTAGTAAAGAAAACACTGCTGTCTGTGGTGTTTTAGTGTGCATTAGTGCTAAGACACAGCGAGTAATTCTAAAAGAAATGTCATCTACTGACATAAAACTCAAATGCATTAGAGCCAAGGTT